TAAAAAGATTTTCAGCCAAGCCAACTCTTCCCTTCCCATTTTCCTTCCTGCATACTGACAGATGAGAATTTGGAAACCACACTCTGTCACCTTGGGGCTCCTTTTCCAGCTCAGCTTAGCCTGTCCCTACTGATTGTTGCTTTGGTTTCATTTAATAATTTGCACATAATAAACGTGGATTTTTTTTTTTTTTTGGTCAACATGAATTTTTAGTGATCGTTTTTCTACCCTTATGTTTATAAGTGTACATATTCTCATTTGAACATTGCAGGGGGTATTGACCATTACTGTATATACCATGGTTAATGCAGAATTTGGGTCTGTTTCCAGTTGCAAATACTTTTCTGCAAACTTGTGCAGGCACGAACTATGCAGAGGCTACATGTGACACAGGTCACAGCTCACAAAACCTCCTTAACATCATGTGACAGTGCACTTTATGAAATTTGAGAGATTTCTTTTTTTTTCTTTCTTTTGTTTTTTGAGACAGAGTCTCGCTTTGTCACCCAGGGTAGAGTGCTGTGGCATTATCATAGCTCACAGCAGCCTCAGTCTCTTGGGCTCAAGCAGTCCTCTTGCCTCCGGCCTCCTACATAGCTGGGACTACAGGCACCTGCTACAACACCCAGCTAGTTTTTCTATTTTTAGTAGAGACAGGGTTTTACTCTCACTCATACTGGTCTCGAACTACTGAGCTCAAGCAGTCCATCTTCTCAGCCTCCCAGGATTACAGGTGTGAGCCTCCACACCTGGCCTGAGAGATTCTTGAAGGTAGGACAGGAGTCAGCCTCTCATTGGACTTGGCCAGCAGCTGACCTCTGTGTTTACCTTCTAATGTGGTCTCAGGAAGTGTTCTCTCTGCCTCTGTCCCAGCTATAGAAGGCCAGGCTCCGTCCCATTCTTTATCTGGATAAGCAGGGGTTTGGTCTCCAGACTTTTGGAGAAGTTTGCGTGTGATGGGTTTTTGGTGGTTATGATGTAACTTTACTGTGAGTGTTTGAATCTGTGGTTATTCTAAGTGGACATACCCTAAATGAGAAATACTCCTTTTCTTCTTTTCAAAAATTGAGTATCGTATCATGTTTGTTTTCTTACCTAGCGACTGCTACACTTGTAAAATTATAACAGTGTTGTCTAAAATGTGGCTTTTTACAACTTACATTTCTCAGTTTCAGTAGGCGAGATGAGAATGAATTCCACTATTATTATTTCAAACTTTTTAATGCAAATAGCTGCAAAGTAGGATCCAGTTTTTCCCTTGCTGGATACTCAACTATTCTCTTGAAAATACAGGAGGTCTTCTGTTTATTGAAGCATAATTATGTTGATGGAAGTCGCCAGTTAAAATCTCCCAAGAGACCACTGTTCCAAGGAGTTGTGTTTCTCAGGGAGGAAAATATCCACCCTGGTTTTTATAGTCTTGTGGGAGGAGGTCCTTTTTATATGCCCTGCTCATATCTGATACTTTAAAAATGTAACTAACATTCTTTATTGGGATTCCTGGTGATCTCAACTCCCTCTTTTCAGAGTCCTTTCCATTCAGTTTTATGGAGTGGCAGCCCGCACCTTGGCATGATGTTATGGCTTTCGGCATAGCTGAGCGTTGAGTCAGGACCCCTCTGGAGGCAGCATCCACAGTGGCGTCTCAAAATTAGAAAAGCCTTGGTCAGTTAGTCTGAGGATTAAAAGCCAAGTTTAGAGGGCATTCCAGAGATGGGGGAGTGACCACAGGTATCGAATTCTGCTGACAGACTAAGATGAGGTTTTAGAACAGACTTTTTTTTTTTGCATTGGGCAGGGTGGAGGCTGCTGGTGACATGATGACCAGTTTGGGGAGTGTGTTGTGGGAGGAAGCCTGATTGGAACTGGGGATGGGAAGACATAATCTTCCCCAAACTGAAGATTTGGGGAATAAGCAGTTCCTGGGCTACCAATGAGATGGGTTCTGTAGATGTGTTCGGAAGTTGAATTTGTATGTAATACAGGTACATTTACTTATTACCTGTAATAGCCTTGGTTTGTTGGTGCAAGTTCTACATTAGGCGGATGTTTGTAACTTGGGGACTCACTCGATACACTGCCCTTGTAAATATCAGTTGCATATTTGTAACTTGGGGACTGCCTGTGGAGAAAATACTTTGAAGAATTTTGTTGTGATGAAGAGGATCCTGGCTGGGTGTGGTGGCTCACACTTGTAATCCCGGCACTCTGGGAGGCTGAGGTGGGTGGATTGCCTGAGCTCAGGAGTTTGAGCCCAGCCTGAGCAAGAGTGAGACCCCCATCTCTACTAAAAATTGAAAAACTAGCTGGATATTGTGCTGGGCATCTATACTCTCAGCTTTGTGGGAGGCTGAGGCAAAAGGATCGCTGAGCCAAAGAGTTTGAGGTTGCTGTGAGCTGTGACCCCACAGCACTCTACTAAGGGTGACTGAGTGAGACTCTGTCTCAAAAAAAAAGATCATAGGATTGGTGTAGTAACTCGAAGATAAAGTAGGGCCAAGAAAAGAGTTTGTACTGCTTATGTAAAAATAAAGCATTAGTGGTCTTTAAGGCTCAACCTTGACACCTGACTATTTTCCATACTATTAGAGTTTTTTGAAACACGAAGGGTGGGCTGGAGCTACACTCCATCTGCCTTCATTTGTGAATGTGATGATCAGGAAAATCTCTCAGAGAAGAAGATGCCTGAGAAATCCTGATGGATGGACAGAGATGGCTGGGGGTTGGGACCCAGGCATTGGAGGCACTGAGGTCAGGGTTGAGGGTCCAGCCCTGCAGGACTTCATACAGGTTGCGAAAGAGGAAGTGGTGAGGAAGAGGCTGGAATGGAGCAGGTTCTGAAGGATGAAGCTTTGAGGTTGAGAAAGTCTGAGGTGGGGATTTATTTCAAAGGGTGGCTCCAGGTGTTACATAAAGCCTGTAGGTTATGATCTCATCTGGAGAGTGAACAGGATTAAGCAGCTTAAAGAACAGTTTTCATGAGACCCATCTCAGAGGCCAGCCGGCCTGTGTGTATGTATGGAAGTGTTTTGGAAATGGAAGTTGATGTTATCGAGTGGATTAGGCCACCCTACAGCTCGCCTGGTGGGAAGGGGAAGACAGGATGAAGCCACTCTTGGTGGCCAGGGACTGATGACCAGGGTCACCCTTTCCTTATCCCCCCTTATTCGTTATTGCCAGTTTCCCTTGGAGAGTTCATACCATTTGATAAGGAAAGCTAGTAACTGGAAGAATCATTTGGCGGGGGGGCTTTGTTCTTTAGTGGCTCAACAAATCTGGAAGTGACAAATTCCGGGGCTCATAGGTGGCAGGTTTTCCTGGGGACACTGTGTTCAGGGATTTCAGATGCAGTCAGGACCCGCAAAGGAATAGGATAGCAAGATATGTGTGTGTATTTTACAAACTTACTCTTAGCATTCTAGGAGAACATTTTCTTTTATAGAGGTCCAGATAGTTGAGGGAGCAGAGTAACTGGAGGTAATTTGCATAGTAGTTTTATGGTGATGTTTAATTAATAACTTAGAGGATTAAGGCTTGAGCTGATTGCTTATGCTGGTTAAAGTGACAAGGATTGGTAATTCTGCCTTTTTTTTTTTTTTTTTTAACTGAGTAGTGTTCCATTTCAGTGGCTGTTAGGCATGTCTTTGTTAGAGATTTACTAGGAGAGCTGCCCAAGATCATAGATTCTCAGCCTCTCTCCCCATTAATATGGATTCTCACCTCTGCCTCCATCCCAGGGTCTTAGTCCATAGACCTGGGGTGGGATCTAGGAATCTATTTCAGCTCTCATTAATCTTTTGCCTCTGTTTTCCCAACTTTGCTTCAAGAATGAATCAAACACCACTTTTTAGATTGGAAAAATGGAGTATTAGCTTTTAGATAAGAAATTTGGTTTTGTAAAAAATACCGTAGCTAATGGCAAAACATGCAATTTGGTGTGTTTTCTTTCTTTTCTTTTTTTTTTTTTAGAGATAGAGTCTCACTTTGTCACCCTCAGTAGAGTGCCAGGGTGTCACAGCAACCCCCAACTCCTGGGCTTAGGCGATTCTCCTGCCTCAGCCTCCTGAGTAGCTGGGACTACAGGTGCCCGCCACAACACCTGGCTGTTTTTTGGTTGCAGTTTGGCGGGGGCTGGGTTCAAACCTGCCACCCGTGGTATATGGCGCCCTACCCACTGAGCCGCAGGCACCACCTGCAAGTTGATGTGTTTTCATTGGTGTATGTAAGTGAGAATAATGGTGCAAGTTCAACGCAACTATGTACCACCTTAATGTAATTTGAAAGCAAGGTTTTAATTTTTTTTTTAATGTATATCATATAGAAATGTATATAATTTAAAATGTTCTTTTTCTCCCTTCTACCCAATTCCGTGTCCTAGCAATACCTACAGCAAATTTTGATGTGTTTTTTAATAGGTGTGTGTGATTTTTACTTTCATAAAAAGAAGGTCAAGGGTGGCGCCTGTAGCTCAGTTACAGCACCAGCCACATAAATCCAGGCTGGCGGGTTTGAACCTGGCCCGGGCCAGCTAAACAACAATGACAACTGTAACAAAAAAATAGCCGGGCGTTGTGGTGGGTGCTTGTAGTCCCAGCTACTCGGGAGGCTGAGGCAAGAGAATCACTTAAGCCCCAGAATCTGAGGTTGCTGTGAGCTGTGCCGCTACGGCACTCCACTGAGGGTGACATAGTGAGACTCTCTCAAAGAAAAAAAAAGGCTCAAGCCACATACACTGTTTAAGCTGGCAATGTACCACTTTGGGTCTTATTACTGTCCTTCTGTTTGTAAGCAGCACTTTGAGGCACCATGGTATACAACTTACTTTTTGCAGATAAGCAAAAATATGAGCTTTTCAGATGTATAATATATGCTGTTGTTTATTAGACTATTTTTGTGGATTTCATTGAGGGGACTAATACCTATTTTGTATATTGGACAATAGGAGATCTTTAATATACTTGAGAGAAATCAGTAGTTTTATGCATTGAGTCTTGTTGGTTTCTGCAGTTCCTATTAGAATAACGTGTCAGCATCTGAGCCTCGGGGAAGAGTGTGTGTGAGTTCCTCCATCATAAAGGAAGAGGAAAATGGACTCAGCTCCAGATTGCAGCAGCCACCTGCATTTTGAATCCATGGCAGTACTGTTGATATGGTTGATTCCTTTTTATGGGCAGGAAGTTGTCGCAGTTTTCAATCGTCAGATTACCTTTTGTAATGGCTGAGTCACTATCCTCAATATTTCTGTTCTTTTTGTCTAGGATCCAAACTACTGGATACAGGTGCATCGCTTAGAACACGGAGATGGAGGAATATTGGACCTTGATGACATTCTTTGCGATGTAGCAGATGATAAAGACAGAGTGAGTTCACAGCCCGGGGGCTGCTCTGAATGCATTTTTCTGGGCCTGGGGGAAGAGGTAGTGTTGGGGATCAGGGGTCCCGATTCCCCCAACCCAGTTGACCCGGTTTGATTATTCACCTGAGTTAATGATTCAACAGAAAGCAAAAGTGAATGGAAACTGGAAATGTGAATGGAAACTGGAAATAAAACTGGAGCAGCACAGGCCGCGTGGATAGAGAGTAAAAGGCACCTACACCAGTTTAGGATAACAAGGAGAGATTTTATTTAGGAAGAACAAAGAGAAAGTTTAGAGCACTTCCGAAAAGTGTCAGAAGTGGGTCCCTCTGGTGAAGGAGAGAAGGTGAGAGAGCCATGGAGACAGAGGCCGGCAGGGGTAAAAAACCCTCTCTCCAGTTGAAATTGGCTGCAAGTCTTTCATTGGCCCTTCTGCACCTCCAGGCAGCATTGCCCTTCCCTATAGGTCATTGATAGTCTCTTTCTATTGGTCATTGGTTACCTA